ATATGTGTTCCCAAATACCATAATTAAAAAAAGAGCTGTCTTAGTGATTGAACAAGGTCAAACCTAACTTTAGAGGACCCCATTGACTAACTTACTCCAATTCTGGCGTAGTCGGCGTATTACAAGTTGTGTTGTAGCTCAGCGGCGGCGTGGTTTTGTGCACATAACGATCGGCAGGCACTGAAATGCTTCGTCCAAACTCTGTATTGATGGGCAAAGCCGGACGCATTTTGCGTGGTTTACTAAGTGGATAAATAAATAGTGAAATCAAAGGTTGAACAGTACTAAGCGAATCCCTATAGAAACTCACTCTGCCAAAAACGGATCATCAAGCAGTTGCGAAGCAGAGGGTCGGTCAAGCACGCTGATGGCAAAACAACGCAGAATAAAGTTCTTGGCGTTGGCGGACAGCTCCTCCGGTATGTTTGGGTGCTTCTTGTAGTAGCCCACCTTGAACATAGCCGCCTGGGCGCAGCCCAGCTCGATGAACGGCGGCTTACCTGTGGCCATCTCCACGTTTGTGCAGCCAAAAGACCAGATGTCAGCCGCAGGTCCGTAACCGCGTACGCCCTGGTCAATGACCTCCGGTGCCATGTATTGCAAGGTGCCCGTGAAGGTCTCCGTCATGGGATTGATGCGGGCCAGCCGCTTGGAGGTGCCAAAGTCGGAGATCTTGACCACGCCGCTGTAGGTATTGACCAGCACGTTGTCGCCCTTGATGTCGCGATGCACGATGTCCTGCTCGTGGAGGTACTTGAGCCCCTCGAGGATCTGCTTGGAGTAGAAGGCCATGGTGGACTCGTTGTCCTTGAGCGGACCCCATTTGGTCTCCAAGAGGTCGGATAGCGAGCCTCCCGGCACCTGCTCCATGAAGATCTTGAAGAAGCCGTCCTCCGAGCGTGATCCCAAGTAGCGAACGATATTGCGGTGGCGCAACTGCGAGTGCAGCTTGATCTCCTCGTGCAGCGGCTGTACGTCCTGTGAGTTCTTTTCCGGCACCTCCTTAATGGCGATTCGCACCTGGGTCTGCTTGTCGCGGGCGGCGTACACAGTTCCATACGTGCCTTTGCCCAGCACCATCTTGCGGTTCTGCTCATCGTAGTCGTACTCGTACTGCAATTAAGGGTTGTAATTGTTTTGTATATTGCAGGGATATAGTATTGCTAACTATCCCACCTCAATTTGCGCGTCATCATTGCTGAGATTAACAAAGACCACCTGGTCGGCGGTCATCTCCAGTATCATGTCGTAGAACTTTTGCCGGCGCTCGGTGGAGGGGAAGTACATCTGGAAGTCATCCGAGTTGTGATGGACGTACAGATAGGCACAGCGATCATCCCGCTTGTACAGGCTGACGGACTTGATCTTTGAGGCCACGAAAAGGAAGTCATGGAGCTTCTTGCAGGCATTCTTTGCGTGCGCCAGACAGTTGTTCACTATCTGAATGGACTTTTCGTCCGCATCCATATTAATGGTCACATAACTGGGCATGTAAATCTTCTGCGGCTCGAGAATCTATAAATTAAATTGGCTTATAAGTGACCAAAATGGGTATAGGTGTGTTTCAGGGATACCAACCAGTATGGGAAAACGAATGCTGTTCTTAACCTCTTCCGTGTTGGTGGCCTCCAAAAAGAAGTCCATCCAGAACTGGAACACCTGCTCCTCGATGGGAGGCAGGCGTTCCTCGGGCTTCTTGCGAAACCTGTGGATAAGAGAGATATTTCCGATGGTGGACTTGAGATACCAGTTAGGTGGCTTCAGTTTGAACATGCACTCTGCAGCCTGAATCGCCTTGGCGTAATCCTTGGCCAAAACGGAGATCTCGAAGAAGGTGGCCACGTCCCAGTACTCGCTCAGCGAGGACAGGCTGCCCTTTTTCCCGATCAAATTGTTCAGGGTCATTCCAATGTGCTGCAGCTCTTCCGTGTTGGTGAACTCCTTGCCCTCAATGACCAGCAAGGTGGCCAGATTAATGCCCGCGTACTCATTTGGCTGCACCTCGAAACTTTGGCGATACCACTTGATGGCGTGCGCCAAACTAGTGGCGTCCGTGTAGTCGGACTCCACGAAGATGTCCTTGTAGATGCGACCGCAAAGGCAGAGCATGTCGGGAAAATGGTTCTCCTTCTTCTCCAGCGCCTTCAGCGAGGATTCCAGTGCCTTCTCGCGATCTCCTTTGCGATTCCTGCGGTTCAGGGCGAAGGCGTACAGGAAACTCATGTTGCCCGTCTCCACGTACTTCCTGGTGTTGGGTATGTTCTTCAGGTCGTTCACCAGCCGCACCATGGCATCGTAGTCCTGCACATCCCTCAGCGAGCACATGAAGCTGTGCACCACCTCGCCGGAAAGGACATGCGGATCGTCCAGCCGTTTTCGCATCTCGTGCAAGATGCTCTGCAGCTTGACGGCATTGGTGGCGTACGTGTCCCGCGCCGTTCGCATGTCGCTGAGAAATTTCTCACGCATGTGGGCTCTGTAAGTAACCGAAAATAATTTGGTTCAATTTTTAGGTACATAAACAAAGCATAATAAAAACATTTATCCATGTGCTGGTGGAAAAACAAATTAAACTAGTTAATTTTTGGTTTACAAAACCTAAACAAATCAACATTTTTACGGTAACAAGGAGAAAATACCATAATATTGTTGGGCTCATTGAAAGGATTAAGATTTAAATTTAAAAATGAAAAGATTTGAAAAATTTTATTATAGGTATACGGGAAATCTTTTTAAGGAACACATAAAATGTTTTAATAAATTAGTTAGGTTCCTTTTTATAAATGTTTTTTAAATTATAATTAAAATCATAATTTTAATAAATGCTTTACTGAAATTTTGTTCTATAAAATCTAAAGCATTAATCAGAATTAAGAATATTACCATTATAGTCAAATCACTCTAATAACTGCAAGGTTAATGTATTAAGGCTGTAAAAATTAAGTACCTTTTTCGGTTTTCTACGTTAGGTTTAGATTCTTCATAAAGAAATTAAATAAAACGGACTGATTCACTTTGTAGTCAAATCGTGACTTTTAAAGAAAATCGTTCGAAGGGAAATTTATAAATAATCGGTTCGTGTTTTTATGTTTTTAATCTTCATAAAGTCTTATTGTTATGGGGACTTCCCCTGATTTACTCACTTCGACTGAATCTCCACATCCTGCAGCTTCCTCTTGAGGCGCCACTGCAAAGTGGGCACCCGTGCCTCGGCAGCGGGCTCCTTGTTGCTGTTGGGCTGGTTAGTCAGGTGGCAGGAATTGCTCTCCGCATTCAGTTTGTAGCTGAGGAACAGGTAGTTGGCACACGAGAGCTGCAGAAGGGAGAGGGGTGCACCTACTTTATTGACCGCCACTGTGAATGCAGGCCACTCTGCGTTGGTGTACACCGTTGCTCAGAGTGTGTGTGTGCCTCTTTGAGTGTTTGCGTGGGCGTGCTCGCATTTGTTATTGTTATTGTTGGGGCCAACGCTTTTGTTGTTTTACGGCCGCGGCCAAAACAAAAATAACGAAAGCGATTTCGACGGAAATACAGTGGAACTTCCATACTTTCAATAGCTAACTGCCACCAAAAACATTGAGTAAGGAAGGGATTTTTAAAAACTATTTTGTTGATTGTACCGTTTTAATCTTATTTTCTTGACTGACTAAAACAAAATTTAAGTAATGTTTCAATCTGTGTAGCAGTGAATTTTCTCGGAGTTTGGCCTTATTTTTTTCTTCACATTTGAAGTGGGTGTTTCACTTTTTTTGCACGGAGTTTAAAGACTTTTCCTATTTCGTAGTAAATTTGGTTAAGACTTAGGAAGTATTATTTAAAAACCGTTTAAAAAAATGTTGCCAAAGTTTATCATTCTGGGATACTTAAATTTGTCGTTTATTACTTGTCAATTTCAATAGAAACTTCTAGTTTAGCAATTCCGAGTTATGGAAGTTCTACTGTAGAAAGGTCGGCAATAACAACTAGCACAGGAGTCACGACTTGGCTGGCGTTTCCCCACATTTATCTTATCGGAAACGTACTCCGGATCGCGTCCGCAGACGTTTGCCGGACACACCTGGACAGGTAAACAGCGGTACGCACCTTGAGACTGAGTGTCTGCTTGGACTCCACATCGTTGTAGATGAGGATGTTCTCCTTCATGCCGAAGCTCTCCCGGACGCCGTAGTGATAGGACAGCGGACGCTGCTGCGTGAGGATGCTCAGGTCGATGACGGCCACATCGGCGTTGTAGAACGTCTCCAGCACGTTCGTCTCACCGAAGTCCAGGCGCTCGAACTGCAAGGATTGGGGAATTCACTGGCACATATGTAAATCATCGACATGGAGCCCCGTATCTCGACCATTGTATAACCCATCTGGCTCACCTGAACCCGCTGAAAATTGGCGCCCGCCGACTGCACCGCCTGCTTGATCTCCTCCAGCGCGCAGAGGCGATCCTCCAGATGGTCGCCCACCGCCGTATCGATTACACACACAACATCCATCGTTGGTTCGATCCGATCCGATCCGATTCGACCCGTTCCGTTCCGATTCGATCGCAGCTATTCTTGGCACTCAACTATTCTGTTTTTGGACGGATTTCGCGCACTTGGGGGAATTAGCGCACTTTCTGCTGGACGGATCCGCGCACCTCAGTGGCAAACTGGCTCATTATCACGTACTTGCTGCAACTGCATCGCGTTAATTGCCGCGTAACTAAATAGTTATCAAATAAATAAAGAAACTTGTGGAAATGCCCAGAGCAGTGTGACCGTGCGGGGCTACCGGGAATTTACCAACCGATGCCCAAAATATACCAGAAAAATAGAAATAAAAATAACTCTTATGGAACTTTGGCGCTAACTCCAAACTCCTGTAGACCTTAAAAAATATATATATAAATAGAATAGCTTGGTTAAAAACATAGTTTGGAAGCAATTTTTCTAAATTTATTGAATGTAGCAAGTGCCTACGTGTATATACATATTACAAAAAAAAAACCAAACCAAATCCGGAAATAATTTTGTTATAGACTATATTTTTAACTTTTAATTATTATGTTCACAAATTTCTCGATAGGGTTTCTATAAATTGCATAAACATTTTGCTTAATTTTAGGTAAAAACTTTGAAATTAACTAGAATATTCCTTAAGTATAGATCCCGCGATGACCAGTCGTTGGATTTCGGAGGTTCCTTCGTAGATCTCGGTGATGCGGGCGTCCCTATAATGTCGCTCGGCCGCCATGTCTGTGACATAGCCCATTCCTCCCAGGATCTGGATGCACTGATGGGAACACATGGTGGCCGCCTCGGAGGCAGCCAGTTTGGCCATTGCGGCCTCCTTGGTGTACGGCTGCTTGTTGTCCTTCAGCCAGGCGGCGCGCCAGGTGAGCAGACGTGCCGATTCCATGGCCAGCGACATGTCTGCAATCTTCTGTTGGATGGACTGCAGTTTGGCTATGGGCTTGCCGAAAGCCTGGCGCTTCTGGGCATAGTCGACGGCCAGTTCCAGGGCTGCTTGGCCAATGCCCAGTGCCTGGCCGGCGATTCCTATCCGACCGGCGTCCAATGTTTGCATGGCAATCTTGAATCCTGAACCCGGTGCGCCCAGCATGTTCTCCTTGGGCACCGCGCAGTCCTCGAAAATCAGCTGGCAGGTCGAGGATCCCCGGATGCCCAACTTGTCCTCCTTCTTACCCAGCGAGAAGCCTTTGGTGTCCTTGGGCACAATGAAGGCGGATATGCCCTTGTGCTTCAACTGCTTGTTGGTGGTGGCAAACACGATGGCTGCCTCCGCCTCAAAGGCGTTGGTGATCCAGGCTTTGGTGCCATTTAGAAGAAAGTGATCGCCCTTTTCTGTGGCAATGGTTGAAGCAGCCCCAGCATCGGATCCATTGCCTGGTTCAGATAGGGCAAAGCAACCCACACGCTCGCCGCTTGTAAAGGGAGTGATGTAGGCCGCCTTTTGGGCATCGTTTCCGAAGGAGAGAAGGGGTCCCAGATACAAAGAGTTGTTCACCGACATTATGACTCCAGCGGAGGCACATCCCCGAGAGATCTCCTCCATGGCAATAGCGTAGGCCACATAGTCAAGACCGGTACCACCTGTTGAGTAAATATTGTAGGTCAAAGTGGGGTTTGCATCGGGATTGGCATCAATTACCCAACTCCTCGGGAATTGCCACTGCCATCACGCCAAGTTCGCCCATCTGTCGGATCTGTTTTTCCGGATACAGGTGCTCCCGGTCGAACTTGGCCGCATTTCCACTCAGCTCATTGTTGGCGAAATCCCGGCAGGACTTCTGCAGCATCTGGTGAGTCTCCGAAAGGGCCAACAATGAGGCAATCTGTCGTACATTTAAAGATCTACGGGCTGAATATAATTATCGGGTTAATAATATTGCATATAGAATACATTTGATGGTTGTGGGGCTCAAAGTCCACCGGCTGCTTTGTCGTACCAATATTTAACGAGCGGGTTAGTGCGGACTGCATTGTGACGTAGGATTGTTTATTTATAAAATATAGGGCAATATATATTGCATAAAAAATAGGATATTATACGGTTTTATGAAAAGTGTCGACTATTAAAAATAAATTAAAATTGAACAGTGTGGCCAGAGGCAAGCACCGGCTTTGTTATGTATGTCTGTATGTAACAAGTGGTTTTACAGGGTGCCTCTTGTTTAGGTGTATTTATTTCATTTCAATGTACGAAACAAAAATAACTTTAAAATTATTGGAGCCAATAAGAATTTATGGAGTAAATATTTGCTAAATTTAAATTAACTTTTTCAAAATTTCCTAAAATAAAAAATAATAAAAATTATAGAACGTACAGAAAAGCAAACTCAATATCAGAATATAAATCTCCTACAAAATACTAGATCCCTAATTGATACCACCCTACGGCCTCTCTAATGCGCATTTTTGAGCTTAGACATCTTGGTAGCACCATCAACAATTGTTGATTTGTTATTCTTTTAATTACTTAAAACCTGTTACCAAAGATCCAAAAATGTCGCAGCCATACGAGGCCACCGAAACCCTGACGATAGAGGCCCTCGACTTTATGTACCAGGATGAAATGGAATGTGGGTAACAATGGAATTCCAAAGCCGATTGTCAAAACATACAAATGATTGTCCGCTTTTTTAGTTTTGGACATCAAACCTCCGCCTGAGAATCAGGACAATCCCAAGCCGGCGCAAATAAAGCGACTGATGTGCAACATTAACGGCTGCAACTATGCGACAAACAGAAGGAGGGACCTGAAGCGCCACAAGCGCACACAGAAACACGTGCTGGAAAAGTTTGGATCCGAGGATTCCGAATCCGACGACTTGCTCGAGCCTTCTCTGTTCTCGTGTCCACTCTGTGACTACACCACGGCCAAAAGATTCAGCTACGTGCGGCACAAGGAGTCGAGGCGCCACATACGAAAAGAACTAGATGAATGCGAAAAGCTAATGGACAAGGCTGATAAGGCGGAAGGCCCCATGAAACATAGGAAAAGAGTGGAGGAGCCAGTGGACATGTTTCAGAACACGGATGCCATCCTGTACACCTATGACTACAACACCACGGAAAAATCTTGCCTAGAAACGCACAAAAACACCGTGAAGCACAGGAAAAATCACCTGGAAGCAAACGAGTTCATCGAGTATGTGCCTCAGGCGGAGGAGTTTGCGGAGACAGAGGACGAATATGACATCCACAGGAAAGGCTACCACGAAATCAGCAACACTTTGGAGTGCGCGCCCTGTCAGTACAAGACGGCCAGGAGATTTTGCTTCGTTCGCCATCTGCAGTCGTCGAGGCATCAGGCCAAAATGCAGGCTGAGATTGACGCTCTGGAGCAGAGAGATTGCCTAGAGCAGGTCGATGAATTCGAGGTGGATAATGGCCTAGAGGAATTTGATGACATAGGGGAGATTAGTGGCTTCGAGGAGGCTGATGCCTTGGAGGAGAGAAATGGAGTGCATGAGTTTGACGTCCTTGATGAGATCGATGGAGAGGTTCAAACAGCTCCCGGCTTCGAAGTGATAGAACATGCACTTGTAGAAGAGAATGTTTACGAGGAGATCGTGTACCTGCCCACCGAAGACAGTCTGGAGAACTGCTGTTTTATAACTTTGAACAATGATTAGATTAATGAATACTTTACGTATTTAAGCGGCTCTTTTTGATAAGTTAATACGTTTGTAAGTTCATTATTATTCACTGAGTAAAACATTTTTCGGGGTGGTATACCAAATGATACGTTGTTAAAGCATTCTTAAAATAAAAACAGAAACAAGGATTGTCCAAAATGTATTTATAGTGGTTCAAACCATTATACATTGTCGTAAACCTATTAATATTTTATTTGTATATGCATACAGGGTACTTGTATCTTTTCCAAAACTAAATGGTAACTAACGGTGGACATTTACTTAAAACTGAGCATGCGGGACAAAAAGATTTAGTTTGACAACTAAGATTTTCTAGATGTATACAATTTTTTTTGTATAGCTTTAAAGCAGGAGCTTTCACGAAATCGGGCATGATAAACCTGCGCTAGTACGAATACTTCCGTGAGCGACTGTGCATCTGCCAGTTTTCCGTTCTGGTTTTGACAGCCCGCTTTTCATCTCTGCGCAGATTCGACGCGCACGCACTGGAACTTGTTTAACGTTTTTTATGTTTTTCACTGCACAACATTGTTAATTCAGCACACAACAAATAGAACAGCGTACTATTATTTTCGAGTGTCCTGTGGGCAAGAGAAAGGCACTTTCACCAGCACCGAGAAGAGCACAGCAATAGGAGGTCCCGTTTGTTATTCTATTGATTTGCCCCCACTTTTGGAGTTTTTTCGGTTTCCTTTGCACACCATTTTCCGCATCCACCGCCTGCTGCGCCCGCGAAAGAGAGGTAAAAACAAAATGCAAGTGTAACCTGGGCAAATATAAACAAATCCGAAACCAGCCTGAGCAACAATAAACAAGAGAGTAGAGCGATGAGGGCTGCTCTCCCGATTTTGGGTGTGTGGGTGAAAGCATCGTTCTTATCGCCAACAAACCCTCTCTCACTCTCCGACGATCTCTTGATAATACGGTGTGCACTGGTGTGGTGGGAGTTCATTCTTGAAACGCCTATAAAAGAGCCGTTCATTCATGGCTAGCGCCATTAAGTTTAAACGAGAAGCTGCCACCGGATCCGATCCACCAGGTGGAAAAGTACCGTGAGTCTTCGACCTGCAGGATTTTCCCATTACCAAGCTGAGCCGCGAGTGAAAACCAAGTGATTACTAGTACATATCGGTTACTGGAACTTGTAAAAAACGGTTTAAAAAGTGATCTAAGCAAGGAAATCGAAAACCAAATTATATTACTTAAAGATACGAAATTATAAAGTTATTTTAATTTTAAAGGATATCTTAGACTTACATTAATTTTTATCCGAAATAAATTTGAGTATAAAAGTGAATTTAGAATATAAAAGTGAATCTTAACAACAAGAAATTATATTCATAATATCTCAATTAAAATTTGTGTGCATCAATTTGATTTAAACAAAATATATAGGCCATGTCTACCACTTCGTTTTTATCGCCTCAAACGAAAACAAACCGCTAATAAAAATAGGTGAAATAATAAAAGAACGAAAAAGAGCGTAATCATAATGCGTCCACAATCTTTAGATTCGGCACTTTAAGTGGGAACCGATTGGGATAGGAACAATGTACGATGTTTTTTAACTCAAGTAATTATATTACAGCGGCACCTGAACAGGAGATATACCCCCGACCAATGACCTGGAACCTCAAGTTTGGGAATTTGTAGAATTAGAAAACGACCAAAATGCAGTCAATGAAAGCCGATGAACTGCCGGAGAATCCGCGCGAGACGTCGAACATCTTCTCATCCTTGATGTTCTGGTAAGTTTCTGTAAATACGTGACTTCCCTTTGATCCTTGGCTAATCCAAACACTTTTTTCACCCTAGCTTTGCCATGCCCACATTTTTTAAGGGCCGCAAAAAGACCCTAGACGAAAATGATTTATACCGGGCCTTACAGGAACACAAATCAGGTGAGTTGTTGTGGAGTTTGGTCGAAGGTCCCTGAGTGATAGGTGCGAAAGCACCAAAAAAAAGACCTGCCCTCGTCGTGCCTTGCATAATAAATTGGCTCGGATTCGGTCCAAGATAATTTATGGCTATATCTGCGGACCAGTCGATAATCAATTTAATTGAAATAATGGAAATCACCAAGGGAGACTGATAAGGAGTTTCAAATGAGAAAAGAATTTCTTATCACCACGTATGCCAGATTAAGCCATACGTGACGTCATGTTGGCATATATTCTATTAGATTGTGATTGGATTTTACTAGGTGAATATCCCATTTATTAGTCACCTAGTAAAAGTACTTCTTACCATGCACTCTTCATTTCTAAGGTGCAATGATCATTCGAGTTTCGATTTCACTGCCCTTTGCCCAGTTGTGAAGTGTTTGCTGAAGATGAACATTAGTTGCGGGTGAAATCCCTGATAACCGAAGCGGCTCAAAGGGTTCCTTGCTTTCCCAGCTGTAGTATATAGTTTATATAATCGACTAAACCGCATATTGACTGCACTATCTCTACTATTCAGACACTACCCAAATGAAGTGCTGGGGAGACACTTCAAGGCACCCGACGTTTGCGATTAGATAGGGCTTAGCATGCGCCCACTTTTTGTGGCTGTAAAGGTTTTCGGGTTTTCCGTGAGCTCGAAGGATCAGCGAACATTGAAGGGCTCTTCTCTAAAGAGGAAGTTGCGATTAGATTTTCGTGCATATCACGCCTGGTTTATTGCTATTTGCGCCATATATATGTACATACTTTTCATTGAGATCGTTTAGCGGAACTATAGCCGGTCCTAATCCGGATGATAAGATAGGCCTTGGATACACACATTCTGCACCATCACCCATTCTTATTGAATTATACGATGGCCACAGATAGCGGTATCCAATTCGGCACATTTAGACCTTTGATTTCCTTCTTCAAAACTTTGGAAGTGCCCCGAAAAGTGACAAATTTGATATCTTTGACAACGTCCGCTAGCCACAATTAATTGATTTTACTGCCCAAAATATTTGATAATACTTTTTCAACACCCCCGATATTGTATACGCAATTAGCCACTCAGGCTTATTTACTTACTTATAATATATGGGCCCGTAGAGATACTATATCGAGTGGATCGTGCCATGGGACTTATGCAATGCCAACAACTATAATAGAACAATAATGCCACATATCTGGGTAAATAAGAACATATGCAAACAATATCAAATGTCGAGCTTTTGTTTTACTTGCTAATCGGTGAGCAATCTAAGACCCTTGAAGGCTGATATAAGCCTTGCGGAAGTGCCGTGGTCGGAATCCCCATATGGAGTGCTATTGAGTTGTGGAATCTCGCGGTCGATAAGATCGATTGGTGGCAATGCAGCTGGCAGCTGACCAGGATTTGTGTTTGCTTGTGTTGCCAGCCATAATTTATTATTAAACCAAAGCACAAGATATGACAATTTACTGGATTTATTGGCCACGGTTACGGTCGCAATGGTAGCAACACTGTTACTCACTATAA